AATGTCGTCTTTCCAAGTAATAAAGTGGTACAAGTACCGGATTATCGTCCACGGAGATTGTAGCCAAAGTTAAATGAGAGTCCAATGAAAGAGATGATTTCAGATGACGATTTTGAAAACTTCAGTTTGATGTTAAGGTGAATTAAAACATAATACAGAATATATAAAAGTAGCAAGGGTGTAAGACTTAAGGTGAGACTCAAACACAAATTCTAGTAGCCAATGCTGTAGGAATGCTACAGTAAGCAATGTTTCGAAACTAAGTTCCACCATCTATTTTGAAGGCATTCCTCTCGGACTTCACCATTGCACTATATTATAGCTTTCTACCCATATCTCTATGTGGTGTCCGGACCAGGGATAGTGACAAGATGTGTTTTCAAAATATTTGGATAAACAAATCTTTTTGTTAAAATTCACTCTCTCGAGTTGATTCCCATATCATTCGAGTTGGCATGTGTTCTTAGATAGTTCATCTCTAAATCTATCGTACTTTGACACTTTTGAAGAGTGGCCAACCCGTCGGGAGTTAAGTTTTGAAAAACATAAATGACAAGTCTCCTTGTTGACAACTTTCTCAAGTCTACCTCTTATGTCATTCAAGTTGACGTGCATTCAATGACTTATCTTTAAGTCCATGGCACTTTAACACTTTCAAAGTGATCAATCCGTCAAGAAGTGTGCTTGGTTTTTATAAAAACTCGAATGAAACAATGGAACGTCGTTTACGAAAACACTTAGCTACTTTCTTTTGGTTTGAAAATCTTACCTTTCCATTTCATACCCAAGCTATAAAAGCTTAGCTACTCATAACGGAAAGTAAATTACAAGTAAAATAAATGACGGAAAGTAAAGACATAAATGTAAATTGTGTAAAGTAAATGACGAGAAAATAAATAACGAGAAAGTAAATGACAAGAATGTAAATGATGAAAATTAAATAACGGAATGTAAATGACAATAATCGTAAACTAAAGAGCGAAAATTAAAAGACGATAAATTAAAAAAAAAAAAAGATGATGATCTTGTATTGCCCAAAAGATTACTATGAATCACCCTTGGAGAGGGTTGATTCTAAAGCTAAATAATGTTAGGATGTATTATGAAAATGGAACCTCCTTTTATACCCAAAGGAAACATTAAAAGACAAAAAATACAAATCTTGGAGGTTAAGCATCCTAAATTAAGTTACAAAGTAAAAATAGAGTAACTAAAAGTACAATAATCTAACAAGAGTCTTAACCACAGGTTTTTAAACAAAAAGTCAGCTTCTACAGCTGTCTTCCATTACTACAAAAAGGCAGCGTCTTAATCATTAAGTCCTCCAAAAAGTTGTGCGTGTATCAGATCGTCGCTGCACCAATGCTGTAGCATCCTGCTGTTTTAACAAAAACTCCCCATTAGCTTCATCCATGAGTACCAACAAGTCAACGACAATATTTAGCTCCATAATAACAAATGTATAAAGAAATTAATAAAAATGACTCAAAATGAGAATGAAAATAAATTATTTTAACTAATAAGACGTAAAACGAGTGCTTAATATGTTGAATTCTCAACATATATCAGTACAATAACGAAGTAATTTATATTTGGTTTAATAATATAATTTTCTTATAAAAATAATAATTAATTATTTTGTTAGAACTCGATAATTATCCTAATTATATTTTAGATTTTTTATATTTTAAAATAAGATGT